CAGCCGCTACTGCCTCGAGGTCGGAATCGACTGCTGCGGCGGCTGCTTCTACCGGTCGGACGGCAAAAAACCCTCTTGAGGAGTTCTTTGAGGTGGAGAGAAGCCAGGATGAAGACAAGCCCGTTGTCTACGGTGAGTTTCCTGCCTTTTGCATTGCGTTTTGAATCTCAAAGTCGCTCCTTTTTGGTTTACACTTCGTGATGTTGATGAATGCGTGCCTTATGATGTGCCTGAGAAAGTCGTGTGTAAAATGCCTCGAAATTGCATTTTCCTCGCAAAAAAACGTGTGAAACGGTGGTTTGCTTTCTTGCTTCATTCAAAATTCTGGTTAAAGCTAACATTTTTATACTGGGTTCCACAAGTATCAAATGGATACAGGTTTCACTTTGAGCATTCATTAGTTTTCGACACCCTTTTAACCTACAGTAAGGTAAAATAACCGGGGCATTGTAGCTTGTGGCAGCTGTAAGATCCAGTGTTCAATTTCAGCTGAGTATTTTTAATCCTAGCTTTCTCATTCCTAGAAATCATATGCTTATTTGTTGGTTTTTGCTCTCAGAGATGACTTTAGTGCTGTTCGATGAAAGATTGTTTGCTGTTTCTCTTGATTTTGTGGCTGTTAAGAACATTGTAAACCTCGGAAGTTGGAACTCCTCCATGGTTTTCAGGTCGAAGCTGGAAAGCTTCAGAACTGCGCCTCAAGGCATGGGATGATCTTCATAAGCTATGGTATGTTCTTCTGAAAGAGAAGAACATGTTGATGACTCAGCGTCAAATGCTCCAGGCACAGAACCTGCGGTTTCCAAACCCTGAACGTGTTCCTAAGGTAATTTCAGCAATGTCTATAATCCTCAGTTACAGAAATTTAGTTCTTGGTGAAATTTATCAAATCCGAATTGTCTATAGAGTTTCAATTAACTATCGAAGTTTTGACCTTCACGTGTCTAACCCCGATTGTCAATTAGTTAAACCGCGCAAGAGTGTGTTCTACTCGGTTCTTTCCTCTGGTATATCACTGGTTAACGTTTGACTGATCTTGTCTCTATGCGTGACTAAACAATGATCATTACATTACAGGTGAGGAAATCAATGTGCCGCATAAAGCATGTACTGACAGAGAGGGCACTTGCCGAGCCAGATCCTAGAAGATCTGCTGAAATGAGGAGAATGATAAATGCATTGTGATATTCAATCTTCAGATGCTTAGGAGTTTGTTTTTTTAACATTGACTTAAAGAGTAGTTTGTGTTTATGGCCTTGAGCTGCTTATTCTGTGACTGTTTCTAAGGTAAGGGATCAACCACAAGTAATGGTTTGAGAGCTTTAGGGGAATAAAAATTTGATCTTTCATGTAATGTTTCTTTGTTGTTGTTGGTAGATTTGTGGTAATCTGGCTCGAAATTGCAATCATATGATCAAACTTCAAACCCATTGTCAAAGATCTACTTGAGAAGAGTGTTTGATTATACAGAAGAAACCAGAAAAAGGGAACAAACTCTCATGGTCATGTGACTATTTTATGGATTGTCAGGTCCTCTGGTTACAAATATATATTTCATTTCAGACAAAAACACAAAAGTGGTAACTGAAAATGATCAATGAGGCTGAGGTTTTGGCCCAAATCAGTGCCGCACGACTCTCCTCCCGCACAGGACGTTGCTGCCAAAAAACGAAACACAACTGAGAAGACGAAACTCATAACCCCTTTTGATGCCTTTGTCATTCACTGGCAATGAGCAATTGGTTTACATTTTTAAGATGGAACACAAGAGAGAGCTTTCATACTTAGAAAAAAAAAAGGGAGAGAAGATCATATATGCACTCACAGTAGACAGCCAGGACGTGACTTTTGCTTCTTCTTCTTCATCTTCTTCTTCTCTTTCAGCTTCAGGGGTGGTTTGATTACTACTTTGATTGCAGCGTCAAACACAGCTTTCACATTCTGCAATACCGTTTAACGGGCCATCGATAATTAACCAAGAAAATAACATTGCGGTTATATATGCCAATATGATATCAAGGAACATAAAAGCAATCATTTTTTTTCAAGTGAGACATAGCCGAGATTCAAAATGGTTTCTTTCAGGCATGCCAAATCGAGTTTTCTTCCTAAAACTATTACCATAGATTTCAAGTTGATAGTAGCACATGCTGTGTGACATTTGCATACATATATATATATATGTGTGTGTATATATGTATACCTGCTGAGTTTTCGAGCTGCATTCGATGTAATACATTGCACCTATCTGCTTACGAAGTTCCTCTCCCTGTCAATAGAATCATGATTTTATATCAAAAGTCTTGGTCGCATCATGTTTATACCAAAGCCACAAAGTTGAAAGCCTCACCTGTGCAGTACTTACAGGGACCAGTCCTGGATGATCGGCCAAATAATGCTTATCTTCCCGAAGATCTACATTTATGTTGTTTGTTGTAAGAAAATGAGTAACTATCAACAAAGGACTAACAAAACCAGATCCGTTTACAAGGAAACTTATGTTCTGCTCTGTTCCGCTCATCGTTCTCTTACCCAATTTGGTACCGACCAGAACTATAGGGACTCCTGGTGCAAAGTGTTGGAGTTCAGGGATCCACTGTCCCAAGAAACAATCACAGACATCAGAAAATTATCTGACATTTACATTCTAAAAACTTCTAATTTACCAAAAAAAGAGAGGGGAAATATCCTATTTGTTCAACCTTTTTGAGTACATTCTCGTAGCTAGCTCGGCTGACCAATGAGAAAGCCAAGACAAAAACGTCTGCCCCTCTATAGCTCAAAGGCCTTAGTCTGTTGTAATCCTCCTGCCCTGCATTCATGGAAGACTCAGAAAAAGCAATGTTACCTCATCTTTAATATATTGCCATCCAACAATCTCAATTGTGTATACGTTTTGATACAGATTTGACATTGCCTTGCCTGAATGACAGTACAGTAATAGGACCTGGTTTTCCAAGAAACTTTAACAAAGGGAGAGAAGTATGGTTTCATACCAGCAGTATCCCAGAGCCCCAAGTTCACTGTGGTGCCTTCAACCACAACATTTGCACTGAAGTTGTCAAAAACCGTTGGTATGTAGTCCTGATACATTCATCAATCAACCCTAAATTTCAGCAGATCTTATCTTCAAAGAGCGAAGATGCAGGCGTATACCCATGTGTGCATGTATGTATGTATATATATAGCTAACTATAAGGATGAGATTCGAACGAATCTGTAATGATGTTCCCGGAAAGAAAACAAGCATAAAGCTGAAACACAAAAAGCTGCAAGAACCAGATGCACCTCCACGAGGATGGACAGCAATAATAGAAAAGGAGAACCTAATATAAAATTTCCAAAAATGGGTAGTTTTCATGAAAGATTCGGGGGAGAAAGGAACTAATTTTGAGGAATCTGGATGGATTCACAGTACCTTTCAGCTAAAGGAACTAAATTTGAGAGACCCAGATGGATTTTTCAGCAAAAGGAATTAAATTTCGAGATTTCACATAGACTATGCGAGGAAAATCGGCAAGAGGAGCTAAAAGCTGAGGAAACCCAGATGGATTCATGATCAGAAATTCGGAGAAAGGGGGCGTTCTTACAGTTGGGAACTTGTTGCTGGTGTAGCAGATGAGCATACAGGTTTTGCCAACAGCGCCATCGCCAACAGTCACACACTTGATGAACCTTGAAGCACTCGAAGCCATTGAAATCAAACTAGAGGGAGAGAGAGAAAAAACCAAACAACACAAAAGACAGAACAGAAACAGGAAAAGGAAATGCAGAAACCAGAGAGAGAGAGAGAGAAGAAGAGCGAGATAAATGCAGGGATTACTTAAAGGTGAAATAACAGTGAAACAAACCCACAATAAAACACAAAGCTAGGTTGTTGTTGCACAAATTTATGGCTTTTTTTTTTCTTCTCTCTCTCTCTCTCTCCTCCTTTTCAACATTTCAAAGTGTCGATTTTTTTTTAAAGTGTCGATTTTTTTTTTCAGCATTGTAAAGTGTCATTGTTTTCGGTCTTCTTGGACAGTTTTGAGTTTCAAGATTGCGACTGGATGGAGCGGTGACTCACATGATCCATCTACATCTTCTTCATTTATGGTGCAATCTCTTCTTCTTGTGTCAAATAGTAAACCCTATGGTTCTTAGTAAAGTGTTAATGTGAACATTGCAGGCCAATATACTTAACATTTAAAGAAACGGTGTACCGTAGTTTTAACACAAAAAAAAATAGTGTACCGTATTCTTGCTAACCATTTCCATAAAGTTTTGGTTACGAGAATTGTGGAGTGGAATTACGAAAAATCATTTTTTATTTAAATTTATTATATAAATATAAATTGCAAAGTTGTGTTTGTGACTGATATATATCCAATAGAAGTAACTCCATGTGTGTTTGAATTTTCTTTTTGTTGGATAATATTTGGTGGGCACACATTGTTTTTGTAAATTTTCGTATTTATAATAAAAAATAATAATTATTTGGAGTAGTAATACCTACGAATAGAAGCAAGCAGACTGCAGTTGCAATAAATAACCAAAGGCAAGAGTTGTTAGAGTTTTTCACAAAAGGACCACTCCACATTTTTGCTTTCGGAAGCATAAAACTAATGAGTATTTTACAAGAAATGCATAAAAGGATGAACAATTGTAGAAACAATTGTTGTTGTTGTTATATTAACTAGAGAATAAATTTTAATATATGATATAACTTTAATAAAAAAAATAATCATATAAAAGACATGCAAATTCAGATAAATATAATTGAAAAATTATTATTATTCAAATTTTAGAATTAGAAATGTAATATAATCTTAGAAAATTAGAGATACTAACATATAAGAATTGAAATAAATCGAATCTAGCCGATTATATTCAACTAATATTCTGTAGAAAATTATTTTTATTGAAAACAAAAAATAAAATATTAGATATAAAACATCGTCTGATAAATTTCCATTTTAGATATTTTGTTTTATGATCAAATGATAGCTATCAAGAAAATAAACACATTTTTAGTACTTTTGATTTTTTTTATAAAACTAGGAAAATATAGTCAGAAGATTTGTTTTAATGCTAACGTAGGAATAAATAACTTCATGAAAAAGACAACATAGAAAAGAAAGAAACAATGAGGCGGTTAAATTTAATTTTCAAGAATATCAGTACGTGATTGGATGCCAAAACCCAAAAGGTTCAAAAGTGAATATTAAGTAAATCAAAATTTATGAAAGAATATATATATATATATATATATATATATATATATTTGCTAATTTAGCCTATAAATCCCACACCCTCCAAATTGTATCAATTTAAAAAAAAATATTTAATATATGTCTTCATTTTGTTATAGTAGTTTGAGAAAATTAGCCTTACTTTAACTTATAATTTTAAATAAATTTTTTACGATTGATTTCAGTTTTCCATAATTTCTAGATAAAAAATAAATAAATTAAACCTCTCAAATATAAAATTTGATTGGTTCCAGCTAATTAAGATCAATTCTTATAGGAGATATTAAAAAACAAGCCCATTGGGCCGAAACCATGTCGAGTTAGGTTCGGTCCGACCCGGACCGGCTTGGCCTATTTTTTGATGACACCACTGGCGGCGAAAGGGCCACGCACTCATATACGCAACTATGCGTTTGAAATTTCGGCACATTTCTTTCTTCTTCCTCCTCCTTTTGATTTGACGTAGCGATTCGTTAACCGAGGAAGATGAGTACGGTGGAACCGGAGCTTGAAGACCTCTTCCTGGAGAAGAAGCGTGTGAGGAATCCCCTTGTCCCTGTCGGTGAGTCCTCGCTCTCGATGATTTGGTTGACCTCGTATTCTTGACATCGAATTTTGTGGACTGGTTTATCGATTCTCGGGATTTCTTAATCGGATCGTTGATTTTAGTTTCTGGGTATTGTTTATCTGGTTGATCCCTTGGAAAAAAGAGTTTATCTATGTTTTGTCTTTTTGTTCTTCTTTGATCCTGAATCAGAATTTCGGAATTCACCATACCATTCAAGGGTTTGCTTACATTCTCATACTGGAAATGTTTTCAATTGGCGTCGAATTTGTCTATGCTTGCATCGTTCTCACATCGTTAGCCATTACAATTCTCGGTACGTATGACTTGTTTGATTTTCTGCATTATGCCACTGCTGTAGATAGATTCTTGATGCCGCCAAATATCATGCATGGTTCTTTGAGTGATTCGCAATGTTGCTTTAAATGAAGGCCTAATATAGGAACTATTCCAGCTACCTTGCATGTTTGATGATTAGATGAGACTTCTATGGTAATCCCATGTTTTTCTTTTCTTTTCTGCAGTGGATTTATATCTATTTCAACATTTTTATCGTATGGAGCTGACTGCAACCTCTTCAAAGAGACTATAGATGTGCTCTTTTTTTTTTCTGGCAAAACCTTATAAAAGAGGTTTCAGTTCTTTGTTGTTGTATTGTATTTCAGTGTCGATTCCCCCATATGGATATGAGTTCTCTGCCTGATTATGGCTCAACCATATCACCGAGTTAGGCCTTCCACTATAAAGATGACAATTTTCCATCAGTTGTCTCGGTCACTGTTTCTTGTAGGCCATGGCAGTTGCCGTGAAATGTGTTCTTGGGTGTGGATAGTTTTCTGAGATATTATTACTCATGGGATCTTCATGTTTTCCTCGAAATGGGTTTTGAATCTTCAAGCCTTTAGTCATTCAGAAATGGAGTGTTAATGGTAAACATACATTTCATTTCAGGTGCCCTAATGACAGCAGGAGTGCTAACAGCAGGGTTGATTAGTTTCAGAAGAGGAAATTCTCAGTTGGGTCAGGTTTTGATGAGAGCTCGGGTGGTCGTCCAGGGTGCTACGGTTGCTCTTATGGTCGGAACCGCCTATTACTACGGCGATAATCCTTGGAAGAAATAGACATGAAAAGCTCATGCTTCCCTTATACTGCGTAAAAAAATCTGCCCGTCTTGTGAGGATTGTATAACTTTGCCAGTGCAGATTCCTGCCTTATGATCTTTGCATAACCAAAGAACAGAGACAGTGTTTTGTATCTTTTTCAGAAAGTTGATTATTTATTGATTTGGGTAAATTCCTCTGAACATGTCAAGTTATATAAGCTGAGAAGCGAGGCGATTTGGTCTTGAAATGATTTCCAAGCTGTTTGGATCTCGTTTATGGTTGGATGAAGGATATTGCGTGATGAGCAAGTAAAGTTGGTGATCTAGGGTTTGTTTTCTTGAGACTCAAGGTTTGTCCTTCCTTTTGTAAGAAAAAATAATTTCATGTTCCATAAATAGACACTCATATCTATTACACAACCACTTGATGAAAGATACAAGCTAAAGCTCATTGATTGCAATAAATAACAAAAAAAGGTTATTTGTTATCCCAAAGACATCCATAATAGAAATGATCCTGTCCAAATCACGAGAAAATTCAACCATATATTATAAAATTAATAACAAAATCAAATAAAACGGAACGACAAGTCCCGTGTCAAACTCCAAAACGCGAACAGTCAACCCCTCGCGGCCAATCGGCAGACGCGTTTCGTACACGCGCTTTCATAACCCAGCAGAAAAGGTCAACGCGGCGGCGGCGGCGGAACCGCCGGAACTTTACCCGAGCCGACGGGAACGGAAGCGTATCTGGTGGAGAAGCTTCGGAAGCCGCCGAATCCGACATCGTCGTCATCGTCGTCGTCGTCGAAGTTCAACGAGTAACTCAATGGGTCGTATTGGAATTTGCCCTGGAAATCGCGGTCTCGGTGTCGGTCGTTGAATCGCCGGATAAAGGTCTTCCAACGAGGCCCTGCGACGATCTCCGACCACTCTCTGACCTTCATAACCGCTTGGGTCCACCACCGTGACTCGTCACGGTGGGTGTCGACGGTCCGTAATCGCTCCCACCACGATGATCCGACGGTGGAGGTTGTTTTGGATCGGAAGCATGGGAAACACGAGCAGCAAGTTGGGTCGACCAGAACCGAATCGGCCGTTGTTTCAGGCTCCGGTTCTGTTCTGCCGATTTCCATGTCGGGGAAACACACGAAGGGAGGAGAGAGAGAGAGAGAGAGAGAGTCTTACATGTTATATGAAACTATGACGGCTATATATAGTATAAAGAATCCGACAGATTATCACGTGCAAATACATGTTCCTACCAAGAATCTCACATATTCTCCACCCCATACAGCAAAAATACAAATTCAAGCTGATCATGAGTGAATCCTCAACCTCTGAAACTGCCTTCACTTCAGTTCCCGTCTTGTCCGAATTATTGCTGCTCTTGTTCTTCTTGAATCTCGTTGATCTGCATCCCTGAACCTTCATCACCAGATTCAGAGACATTTGTGATCTTCTGCAACTCATCGGTCACACCAGAGGAACCACTTCTTGTCAGGTCATGACCTTCATCTTGGTCTACCCGAGCCTGTGGCTTTGGCCGGCGAATAGCTTCAGCTGCTTCCAGCATAGCCACTGGAGGTGGCTGGGGAGGAACCCACGTCCGCTTCTGAACAAGTGGCTGCTCCTTTGCACTTGTTTCGCTTTCATGACTACCAAAGGAGCTGGTCTCGGTCGCGGTCGCCACAGTTCTCGGGTTTTTGGGCTGCAGCCATTTAGTTGAGGGGTCCGAGTTGAAACTCTCGTCCTGAACTTGAGCAGAATCCCATGGCTGATACGAAAAGACAATTCGGTAATCATCCTCGGGGTTAAATTTTAGAAAACTTGCAGCCAAGATTCTACCTAAAGGAAAAGGACGACTCCAAGTCCTACTACAAGCAAACATCAATTTTGGGTAATGTTCATGTTAACGAGGATTAACAGCTTTCCTAGTGGCAATAAGAACCATAGCCGAGAACGTAGTTACATATAGCACCTGATGATTTGGCGAAAAGGACAGTTTTTGTACCTTAGCTCTTGAAGCAATACGAGGATTCGATGGCTGCTGGTTTGGATTCGGTGGCATATCGTTAATATCCTGTATTTTGAATAAACATCGAACCTTATCAGCAACAAATAATCCAGAGGGCGGAAGAGAAAACAGTTTCCATTTACCCGAATATTAGAAGGCTTCTCTCCTCTCTGGATCATAGCCATTATCTGCAATATATCATCAATCATATCAATGCTAATAGTTTACATCAAATTTATCAAGAGGTGTGCTTACATACTCTGCCCACAAGAGTGAAAACCGATGTGGGCTCTGTAAAGTATTAGCGTGAGAGCTTCAAGGGATGAACTTAGTTAAGTATTTAAATGTGCAATAAGCTTTTGGTTCAATGGTGGAGGAACGATATTAGTTCAAGATAAAATCATGATTTTGCAGCCATAAAAAAATGACATAAAAAATGACAGAATCAAACAAAAAGCAAACACATATACTTCATAATTGTAGTTAAGAAAAAAGAGAATTGACTATGCAAATATGAGCCGAATACTATTACCTCCATGTATGAATTTGGATGAGGCACAGATGATTCCACCGGGGCAGGTGGAGATGCAGATCTTGCTGCAAGAGTATTAGTTAATAAACAACAAATCAATGAAATGGTAGAAACAATACGGATCGAGCTCTTAGATAAACCTGAGCAGTTGTCATAATCTGCGGTCCCATTTGGATATGGTCTCTGCATCATGAATCATCACTTGTAATGTTTAGACATGATTATAAGGTTTAGAACTAAAGATAACTTGAAACCCACAACCAATTCTCACCCCAAGCTCTCTTTAACTCACCCTTGTGCTTGTGACAGAACCTCCATAATCCTCTTGGTCCGCTTGATATGTCCGAGGTCTGTTATAGGTTTGCCCTGGAGAAGAAAACAGAGAAAACGGGTTCCATACACCAAGAAGAATTTATACATATTTCGTAACTGATCCATTTTTGTATGAACAAGCCAAATATTTGGCAAACATTTACGGCTCCTTCTACTAGTGGGTGTAAAGGTCAGAAAACAAAGTGTAGGAATATGCTTTAAAAGGTAAAAAACTTAGCAGCTAATACTAGCGAGTGATATCTGCAAGAACCAAAAGAGATTGTCCGTGAGTTAGCCTAAATGGAGGGACAATTACCTTCCAGCTTTCGAATGCTACTGCTCAATGACTTCATTTCCTGTACTTGTGTGTCTAATAGGTGCATGAATTCCTCGAAATTTCTTTTCTCTGATAAGAGTGTAACCAATGCAAAGACAAATTTAACATTTCAGGAACTAGCAGAAAAGAAGGAAAAAAAAAGGAAATGGTAAGAGAAAAAAAAAATTACATAAGGTTGCAACATAACAAGGTTCTACCTTCAGTTCTAGTTCTCATCATTTCCTGACTTGCCCTAGCTACATCAGCAGCGGCAGCAGCGGCAGCTTTTGCAGCGGCAGCAGCTTCTTCGGCTAAACTAGGTTTTGCAACTTCTCTCTTTGAAGGGTCTGAGTCTTCTTCCACCACAATTCTGCGGACCCATGATTTCAACCTGGGGATTATAGAATTCTGACAAAGAATAATGTGCTTGAATGAGAACTCAGTTTCAGGACCACATCCAGCAGGTGGAAATATCCAGATATGGAGTAACAGCTTTTCCCCGACCTAACAAGCTTTTTAACATTGTCATCATGCAAGTTTGATGGCTACTATAATCTGATTATTGAATCAAAGCAAGATGATGCTGCAGCACAGCATAACACGATGTGGAGGTCATCATTTTCTCTGTTATCCCATTTCATGAATGCCAAAAACTCATATCTTAAGCTTTTGCCTTCCTTATGGCTCAACCATCTTAGATCATTATTTAAGATTGCTCCATTTTCACTAGTTTCATAAAATCATGATTCAAATAGCGGACAGAGATGACAGTGGTGTTCCGGGCTGTCAATACCTTTACCAAAACAGCTGTCCCAGCACCTGAAGCTGCTAGTAATCCCACAGCAATAACACCGTGGTACCAGTGAAACCTGGAGAGAATTCCCGGTGGTGGAGTCATAACGACAGGTGCAGCTACCACTGGCTGCAGTGTTTGGGTCTGCCCATGTGACTGAACATTCGGTACCACCTGCTGGCTGTCTGATTGCAACAAAACAGTTTAAGACACATCCAACCGCTCTGCTCTGCTGAAGAAACTAACAAACATACCCTTTGCTTATTACCTTGAGTATTACTAGTTGTCTGTGAACTCGGCGGTGGATCCTATGATTAAGATTTTAGAGTGGTAAGAAGGATGCAGGTGCAAAAGTCTTTCTTTCTATCTTTTCTTTCTCGTCAAATCATGAATGGAAATAAATAGATTTCAACCATGCTGGAGGGAGGCTTACAGGAACACGGCGGAAAGCTTCATCTATCTCTTCCTTTGTGAGGCCTTTCCTCTCGAGAAAAGATCTTCTATGTATTACGGGAGAACCCCTAACTCTCGGGTGACTAAGGAATTTGATGGCATTCTGAACTTGATCCTCCCGTATCGGTTCTGAATTTACAAACACAGACTTTGGAGCACTCTGCTTCACAGCTTCCGGTGCAGCAACTTGCTGAACCTCATTTGTGGTGGCTGTCATGCCCTCTGTAATTTAAAAATACAAAATAGAACAAGATAGCATAGCTTAGATGTATGCGATTGCCCTCTTTTTGTAGCATAAACCCCTCAGATGATACATATGTAAGAGTTGCTGAGTGTTTCAAAGAAACCGAATCGAATCAGTTGGCTTCAACAGGACAACCAATTCAAGCTTAACCAACAATAAAACCATCCTTCCACAGTCATCATCTCAAGCTAATGATCAACTTCGAGACTCTATGCTTTCCACGATCAGAATACTTTGTACAAAATTATCTTCTTTCTGAGAGAAATTAAGCTAAGAAACCAGACTAAGCCAAGCCAACAGCAGCACAGCATCAAATTATCCAGAGTACTTGAAGATAAATCTTCTTAAATTGAAAAGAAAAGCAAACATCCGAAACAGAGGTTTCAGAACAATAACATGCCCAGAATTTGCTAGTTCGCAGGAACAGTAGTAAAATGGGCAGAGACTCTAATCGGACCTGAAACTTGGGGGGTCTCGTCAGCAGCCGGAGAAGGGGAAGCCGAGAGGGTCTGGTTCTGCTGCTGCGTCGCCATAGCCTCCCACCATCGAAGGGACCGACAACCAAAAGAAAAACCCAGTAGATAAAAAGCCCGAAGAAGAATCCAGGGAAGCGCGAGAAAACGAAGACGTAGGAGACAAACCAGGAGAGGTTAACAAAGAAGCGAGCTCGATCAGGAAGGAGACGATGACAAAATTAATGGGTTTTGCTCATATCGAGGCAGACGAAGCAGGAGATCGTCATCATCGTCATCCGAACTGCTGAATTTCTCTGATTTTTCTGGGTTTTTTTTTTCTCCCATGTAGAAGATAAAGGCCTGGTTTTGTGTAACGGAGGTTCACAAACTCGTCCTTCGTGTGACGTGTCTATTTATTTGGGCCTACACTTATGACGGCCCAAAACTGCGTTTCGGAGTCTAAGCCCAAAAGCCCATTGTTCAGTCACAAACTCCAGCTTGAATAAATAAAAATATATTTTGGATGAGTGTTTTGAAATTTTATATGCTTTAAAAATCTCTGTGTCTATGTGTTTGAAGGTATTACCAAGTAAAGAAAATTATTATTTTCCACCTATATATAAGTTGGAAAATATGAGCACTTGGGTCTATATAGGATAGTAGAGATTTTTTATGTTGTAAATTTTCAAATGTAGACACAAAAAAATATAATAAGTTAAAAATATTATATGAATATGTACACACGTGTAAAGGAAGGGAGGTGGAACGGAAGAAACCCAAATAATATAATTATTTAATCATATTGATAAATTTGATATGGTTGAAGTGAAACTGTCATTTTGATTGATAGAGACGACATAAAAAAAATATATAATTAAATTGTCTAGGATCAGTGTTCCAAATCATTTTTAGGGTTTGAATTGAACTTGTACACAGTAATAACCCATTTATTATCATTTTTTTTTAAAAAAAACTATACATTAAGTGCAGACAAAAATAAGCAAACAAAAAGGAAATGTACCATTTCAATTGTAGTCATTTTCGATCATATATGTAAAATCAAATCCAACTAAACTACATATATATTATATAATAACATTCGAATCGAATATATATATCGAATACGAATATCATAATCAAAACCAATTTTAAAAATAATTACATGTGAAAAAACAAATTAAAAGTCTCGTATATGTCATATTCAATTCGATTAGAGTTATGTTTTATTCGGTTCGATTCAATTCGACTATCTGGTTAATAACCAAAATGGTGACCCCTAATAATCACTATATATTTTCGTTTTTTATTTCATTTGTCATTTTAATAACCGAACGGTTATAATTTCTCAAAATCTGAAAAAAGTGAAACCAAATCGATTAAAACAATACCGGAAAACGATAAATTTAAAAATCAAATCTAAACTGAATCAAATCGAACCAAAATTTATATAAAAACCGAATGGTTATAGTTTTTCTATAATCGAAATAATTGAATCTTAATACAATCGAACCGAAATCCGAAACGACCACCCCTAGTCGTCATATAATATTGTTTTTGATGTGGTTAAATTAATTAAAATGTTTGATACGGCTGAACCATGCTAAAGTTGGTGGATAAAATGGATATGAAAAATTCAATTTCTTGTAAGGACAAAAAATAGAGAGAGGTGACATGAGTGCAATTACCTTCTATCCACTCCCACTCTTTTTTTCACATTAGACAAAATGATTTCGTTTATTTAACATGGGGACTATTTTATCTTTTATTCCGGAACAGGAAATTGCCTTCCGAACACACTATTTTTTCATTCGTCAGCTAATTATTCTTCAATGATGATTTTGAAATATGTGAAGTTGAAATAAAACAAAATCAAAACGATTGGACGATTTATGTTCAAATTTTCAAGTAATCATCAAACGTAACTTGCAAGTCATTCTTTACATAATTAATTTTATATCATTATTATTATTGTTGTTGTTATTATTAGACTTGGAGGGGATTAGATTAATATTCATGGACCATGGGTTGGTGTTTTAAAAAAAAAACATTAAGCTGACCAAATGTGATAGTTTTCCGCCGGTGGAGAGGGATAGACTAAAATGTTCTATATATAAAGACTGATTTCGGGCTTAGGGTGGATGTTTTCGGACCGAAGATCCGAAAAACCATCCTGATTATCAAAAAAAAAAATGTGATAGTTTCGTGTTGTATTTAAAACGTCGTTCTCTTTCCACACACACAAAACTGTAACATAATACTATGAAATTTTTGGACATTTTCTTAATTTTACATGGCAAAAAAAAAAGAGTATTATAAGCAAACCCAAAAAAAAGTGGTACCAAAACTCTAATCAAAATAAAAAAAATGACAAAATTAAACATATAAGATTTCATTCGCAGAAAATCGACATTATATCGACACATCCAAACCCTAAATACAAAAGTAACTCCCTTAATCACCTTAACATTTATTTACATTACCATCTCTTTGTATTTGTTATTCGTAAAGAGGTCCACGTCAGAAAGGACGTAAATGTCGACTTATCCCATTCACATTTCTCAAAATCCCAACCATGTCCTTCCTACTCGGCACGTACCCTCGTCGTTTTGAATCCTCCGATCTCTTGCCGTTCCTTTCTCCCTCGCATTTCCCGGCGATAGGAGGTGGCGATTTTTCTTCTCGGCCGGTGGATTTCTCTGTATTCTTCACCGGAGTCACGATCACGAACTTCTCCTTCCCGTCGCTCGTCCTCTTCGCGTACAACAATATGCTCCGTAACTTCCATCGCTTGGACGATCCTCCGTTGCTGCTCTTGATTTCCCGCTGCGACGGCGAGGAGAGCTGCTCGTGGAGGCGATCGATTCGGGATTCTTCTTCGGTCGGTCGTTTCGGCGTCCAGACGCAGTATGATTCCGGCGAAACGCCGATGAGATCCTCGTCGGCATCCGATGTCGTCGGCGAACACGAGGAATCTTGCTCCTCGCGCATCAGCTTCCTCAGCGGCGGCCGACGGTGTCGGATGTTTGTCGGCGGAACCGATCCATCCTCACCTTTGGCGGCGACCTGAGAACTATCGCCGGCGGCGGATGAGGAGGAAAACAGAGCGTAGGGATTCAAGGGACGTATCTGACCGTTGCAGAAGATCTCATCGGCGGTGGCGATGGGATCGGAGCGGCGGTGATCGCAGTCGAAAGCGAACTCGAAATCGTCGGCGTGGAAATCGGATTGAGGCTCTTGATCCCTGAGTTCCTCGACGACTCGAGCAGCGATGGCGGCGAGGTCGACGGTGGTGGAAAAATTGCGGAAACTCGGCGAGCCTGGCGAGCGAGAGAACAACCGACTCGTATGCATTTCAGAAAATTCTGGCAGAGTTTTCTGATCTCTAGAGAGAGCGAGAGCGAGAGCGAGAGCGAGAGCGAGAGAGCGCTTATAAAGCTGGTTCTTTCGAATATAACTTAAAATTCACGAATAATGAATAAATATAAATGTAATTATACAAGAGTGGCAAAAAGGTAATATATATATTATATGACTATGAAATGCAAAGTATATTGATGGTAGACGCTGTCCTTTTATGTCCTTATTAATAGAATACCCCCAAAGAGCGATAAGGCTTGACTCTTAAAACCATCCAACCAAAAACAAAAACAAAAAAGGGAACAATAAAACACTAATAAAAGAAATAAATAATGATGATACCAATAAATAAATAAATATATATACCGTCTCTAACCGTCCCCGGTGGGGACTAACCGCTCTCCTAATTTTGTAATGATAATATTCTCTCCATGTTACATAAACCTAACGTTTTGAAATTTAAATTTTGAAACAAAAAAAAATATGCAATTTTCCGAAAATAAAAACATATCCCACATGATTCTCAATGAAGAAAAAATAAAATAAATAAATAAAACATTTGCTTACAATGACAGTAAAGGACAATCAAATATACTCCTAGTACCAGGCAGCAGTTGGATCATTCACCTTTTACCATCGTTTTCTAAAATTACGGATATACAGAACCAGAAAAAATTTATAACTGGGACAGTAATTTTATTATGATGCATTTACTATGTATCGACATTTAATAATTTTAGTTTAAAGTTTTGTAAAATTTTACCATGCATTCGCAGGGGTGTCATAGGCTTGTTGTCGTATGGGATTTATATATGTATTCCAATACCACTAAAAATTGTTTTGATTATTTAAAATTTTAGCCAATGAAAATTAGTATTAATTTTATATATGTTCTTAGAATATAATCAAAACTAATTTGTTTTATCGTGAAAAAAATTCACAAGAATGCCGAAAACTATCTAAATGTTCCATATAAATATCTTAATTTCCAAATTTTTTATACAAATAACTCAATTTCATAAATTTGTAACAAATAGATAGAAAATCTTGGGAATTGTGTGTATGTAACTGAATTTGATATTTTTATTGAATTTTTCTTATATATATATAACATTCGTGTTGGTTGCACCAAGTAATTTAAATGTAATATATTTTTTTTATAATCGGGTAATCTCAGGCCCAAAGGGCCCAGACTAATCCCGACCCACACGAACAACCGGCACCACACGTGTGGGATGTGAGACATACGAAGGTGGCCGGAGGGAAAATTTTCATATTATGGGTGTTGAAACCACGATCTCTTGTTCAGGAAGTGGACTCTCAAACCAACTGAGCTGGAGGAGATCCCCTTTAAATGTAATATATATATCATATATATATATATATATATATATAATCATATGTATTGCGTCACTCCGACAAGAGAAAGTGTATCTTCAACACTTTATTGATTGGTAGATAGTAAGGTGTAAATTTAAGTCATTAAACGCATTAGCATGAAAAGAAAAAAAGAAAGGTCGATGTAAGTAATTACAATTATATAGTTTAATTTATTCAAAAGAATTCTTATAATAATGTATGATTATGTGTGAATAGTGCGAATATTGTGTTATACCACAACATTTACCTGCTTATATAGTTTAAATTTTCGATTTATTTAAAAGAGATTCAGATGATTGAACCCACTATATATATTTTAATTTATTCAAAAGAATTCTCATAAGAATGCATGATTAGGCGTGAATAGTGCGTTACTATACCATAATTTTTAACGAATATATGAATTGTATACCGAAATTACGTAATAGATCAATGAGATCGAACATATAAATATAAATGAAGATTTTTTATCATTATTTTATAGTACAAATTGATATGATTGCACAAATTTACGGCTTTGGACCCAGGGTTGGTGGTCCATTGGCTGATAAATAAAAAGTCATCTTCGAGGTCATGAGTTTGATTCAACTGGCGAGAAGGGATATAATTTATGGATCAAAATGATCCATATACAAAGGCTGATCCCGGATATAGAGTGTATGTACCATCCTGATTATTAAAAAAAAATTTACAGCGTTGGTTTGAAATCTATTATATGCATAAGATTTACCGGTTTTATTAATACATCGAATCAATTATCATATATCTAGTCATGTTAAATTATGTTCACAAATAAAAAAAATACAAGTGTTTTTTTAAAATTGTTTAGTAATATACATTATTTGTAGGCGCTAATCACAATATTATATTTGTTGCAAACAAGTCAGCAATATCATATGTTTTAGCATTAATATCAAATAAATCTTATTATCTATTTAGCTCCAAATATATTTATTTTAGAGATTCTTAGGTATTTACTTATCTCTAGACAGGAAAACGTAATTTTCAGATTTATGAGATCAAGCATATTGCTGTGCAATTTCCGTCCTTCACTCACGTCCTCACCGAAACCCTAGTTCTGCAATGTTCTTCGTCTCCAGATTTTAGGGTTTTTTTCCGAATATTCCTGTCAATCCTCAGAATCCTTCCACCATGGACAATAATTTCGAGAATTATCATCATCAATGGCGTCCAGGACCAGTTCCGCCAAACATTTGCCCCGTTTGTACGGGCCCGCACTTCCCCTTCTGCCCGCCATACCCTCCTCCGTCAGTTCCCCAAGATCATAATTTTCGCCCTTATCCTAATTGCCCTCGTCCTGCGTTCGATTCGTTCGCCGGACCACCGCATAGTTATCACCCATTGGGCGATCCGAGGCCGTGGCAGGTAAGCCACGGAGATCACTGGAGGGCCGCTCCTGATTATCATACCGTCGGCGATGCTTGTCGTGAATCTGATCGTAGATGCAAGAGATCTAGGGTTGATGAGATCGGCGGTGGTTCTCCTGGTTTGGGCGTTTGTGCGAATGAGAATTATCACAGTCCTAATTCGGGGTCGGGGAGGATCTACTTGGAGAACGAGCGGAGACTGAAGATGATACGGGATCACGGTTGTGGCTTCGGCGGCGATGGTTTAAGTAAGCCAGTGCCGCCGCCACCTGGTATCCCGGAGATTAACAGTATTAATAACTCGCCGCTTGCCGGTTCCGGTGATCGGAGAAGGTTTTCGGCCGAGGAAATGAATCGATATGGCTTTAGGAATGAAGGGCATTACAACGGTCTGGCCCCGCCTCCGCCGGCAGTCACGTACGGTGGCTACTTCGGGCGGCCTAATGGTCAGCCTCCTATTCCAGTTGCTCCGCCGCCGCCACCAACTCATCCGTCGTACCATCCTTCTTTGTTTTCCGTCACCGGCAACTCGTCTGCAGTGATTGATACGCTGCCTTATCCACAAGTACCAAATGCTCTGGTAATGCGGCTGTTTTGTATTCTTGTCCATCCCTTTTTGTGATCCATTATATAGGGATGCTTTGTTTCTCTGCACTTGATGATTTTTTGTCATATTGTAGCCATCTTCTGCACAACCGGCCATGGCGGTTCGATCCAATAAGCCTAAAGTGGTTGATATCTCCCAGTTGCTCATGTCTCCTCATCGAGCTAGTCGTCCAGATCATTTTGTAATTATCCTCCGTGGTCTACCAGGTTGTTTTTCGAGTCATCTCTTTTCTTCTTGCTTAGGCATGTACACAGTTTCAGTTCTCAGCAAAGGCTCTTGCTTCCTGATTTCCAATTTTCACTCGTTTCCAGTAGAAGAGCCTTTGTTTCCCCCTCCACTTTTGAGCTAGATAGGCTAAGAAATGAGACAAAAATAGTTCTTTCCAGTTTAGTCCAAATTGATATGATATAGTCTCCAGTTGTTTTAGCACTTTGGAACTGGCAGAGCTAGTAGTGTATTAACTTATATTTTGAATCATAATGCAAGTCGATTGTCGAATATCTTATAGGTAGCGGGAAGAGTTACTTAGCCAAGATGTTGCGTGACATTGAGGTGGAGAATGGCGGTGCTGCTCCACGAATCCATTCTATGGATGATTACTTCATGACAGAAGTTGAGAAGGTTTGGCGGTCTTTGTAATTTAAACATGTTATTATGTTAATCAGGCATATCTCCCTTGCCAAAAACACGGGGATAGGCCGACGTTTTCGATTATGATGCAATTAATTATTACCTCGTTTCTTCTTTTTTATACATTCAAGCTTGTGAGCATGAGATTTCTAATATCATGTTGCCCTTTCAATCTGAAAGGTTGAGAATAATGATTCAACTTCTTCAAGCTCTGGTAGAAGTAAGAAACCTGTTGTGAAGAAGGTTATGGAGTACTGCTACGAACCTGAGATGGAAGAGGTGGCTTTTCCTCTTTTATTTGAGACCCCAAAATTTCAATATAAACAATCACAAGATTTATGTTAATTCTCATGGCACTTGACGTGCTTTCAGGCTTATCGTTCAAGCATGCTGAAAGCTTTCAAGAGAACCCTTGAGGAAGGGGTTTTCACCTTTGTAATTGGTAATGGTTTTTCCTTTTTTCATATTCAAGACACGTATGGCAGTTATATCAACCTCAAAACCTTTATTTCTTTTGCAAATAGTAATTGTTGCTTGTGTCAGAACCTTGGTGCTGAAGTTGTTAACATGGCCTCTTTTGGTTTGATGATGTTGACGTGATGGATTCTATTTATTTTCTGCAGAACCAACACTTATTGAAATCCTTATTTTCTCCTTTGATAGTTTTAAAAAATTAACCATATCCTCCTAGCAGTCTTTGCAAAAATGCTTTAATGTATAGGGCATAAAATATGGTGAAACATCTAAAGGTCTGTATTCAGGGGTGTAATTCATCCATTTTGGTTGGGAATAAGTGTTGTGGTGCGGTGTCCAAGCACTACTTTCATTTTCTCTAACTACGGATGCAGTTTTGTTTTCTGGAATTGACCATTTCTTCCTGGTATATGTGGCTCATCTTAGTGGATGACCGCAATCTGCGGGTCGCTGATTTTGCTCAGTATTGGGCAACAGCAAAGGTATATCCTCACTTACTTTCTGTATTTCCTTGTAGAGACTGGTTGTTGTTTTGCGGATTCTGTGGCGAGTTTTCATTCTGTATTTATGAGTTTCACAGTGTTTGTATAATTATATGTATAGTTGGCATCGGCATTGCTGTAAATGTTTTAGTTACACAAGTTTCTCCACACTGTACATAATTTGTTTGTGAATTTTATGTTAGCGACTCTGTCAAAAACCTAAACTGGTCATTGATCTCTTAGATTTAGGTTTATGAGGTTTATGTTGCTTAACTTTTAATAATACATCTTGGAAAATCAATTCCTCTTCTCTTCATAGAGGCTTCAGCCTGTTTCTGATCTTCCCCAAGCCAAAGCTAGTGTTGCAATTTTGGTTGCAGTTTTTCTTTTTGCTTGTGGAGCTCGGATGATCCTTCAGAGTTCTGTTTATTAACTTTTATGATATCTTCTTTGTTGGCCAATCTCCATCTAGAAGGAATGTTTTCTTTCTGTTTTTCACTTGTAGCTTACATGAGGAAACAAAAGGACCTCGGTGAAGGTGCCGCTTGTGGGTTCTTTTTAATCATTTCTGCTTTGTGATTTCTGTTCTCTTATTTTGATAAACCATAGCCCTTTGACTTACTTGCTGACTTGCTTATGGGTGGTATTTCACCTGCAAATCAGAGTTTCTCTAGATACCTTTTTTCTTATCTTGTCTAATAAACTGTCAAGAAAGCAACCCTGTAGGCTGCTACCATTTTGTTGGCTCTATTTTTCTGCTTATGACCTTATAATATATCTTCTTATCATTAGGCTCATATTATATGTCTTGTAGGCCTAAGAATTTATTTATGTAATCATTTTTTTTTAACAAATGATGATATTGTTGGTGGCCAATGAGGTAGTCCATTGCTTAGTATGGTTCTGTTCCCTGAATTTGTCGTTATCCAATGTGCTCTTTAGTTTTGCGCCTATGTTCTGAACTTGGGATTTTTGTTAATGGGAAGTTGAAACATATTATATTTGAAAATAGCATTCTTTACCAGTTAAAACGTGTCTGATTCAACCGGAAAGCCTCCGATGAAAGAACTCTTGTCTGCCTGTTTTGCTGGAATATAGTATGATTCGATCTTCTTGTGCTTGGCCTTTTAGGTGTAGTTGCGTCTTTCCAATTGCAAAAGTGGCTTTGTTCTGCTTACCTGAAATGTATATGCTGATGTGTGATATTTTTCCATGTTCATTCTCTGGTAACATTTAAAATGAGTGCAACTGAAGATGTGTTCACTGCCCAGCAATAAAATGAAGTCTTGATTTACTTTATTGCGGCTTGCAAGTTTCATTGACAATCGTTTTTTTAGCAGAGATCTGGTTATGAAGCTTACATACTGGAAGCAGCTTACAAAGACCCTGCAGTGAGTTCCCAAGTTATTGCTCACTTTCCGTTAACTTGCACTTTGTGTCTCAATCATTAGTTTGCTTCTTGACGATAACTACATGTGTGAACATGATTTCATCACTATTTGCCAATAAGTTATTTGTTCTCACTTTCATGCTGTGCTAATTGAGTGTGGAATCGCAGGGCTGTGCGGCAAGAAATGTCCATGGATTTACATCAGATCAGATACAGGAGATGGCGGCGCAATGGGAAGAAGCTCCATCATTGTACATGCAACTGGATATCAAGGTTTTCTGTCATACTACTGTCTTCTTCGACATTGCCCATCTATTTGATAAATCAGGGGACAATGACTGCATTTCTATTCCATGCATGATTATATGTTCACCCCAACTAGAAGGATTTGGAGATGCACTTTCAGTTTGATTGTTGAATGCAAGATGCTTTTTAAGTACAAAAAAATTCATGACATTATCGAATGATCTCTTCTGTCTTCCCTGTAACAGTCCATTTCACGTTGGGATGACCTGAAGGAGAATGGCATTCAAGAGGTAATAGAATAAATTTTGATACCTGCCTTTCTTTAAGTGAATAAAGATTAGGTTTGTGCTTTCAATTGTTGAAGCAAGTCATTCTCATTCACGCTGTCTGTTATTACACTGAACAGAAATCCCTGCTGGTTTTGTCAAATTTCATGACTTTACATTTTTCCAAATACTCTTGTGCTGGCGTTCTTATGTCTTAGAAAATTTTCCTCATTTGTCTTTGTATGTCATTGTTATCTCATAATTTCATATAGGTGGATATGGATATGGAAGATGATTTTGGACCACAAGAAAGAAAACCCGATAACAGAGCTGGAAAAACTGGAGAGGATGTTACAGAGGGTAAATAACAATGCTGACTTTATATCTTGTTGCTTCTAGTGAGATATAACTGTTATTTTGATTCAAGTGAAGAGTTTTACGTTTCAAAGGCAATTTTAGGGAGCTTACTGTAATTCGTAGGTTTTTTGTTTATGGAATGCTACGTGCTGCATATTCTGGATACTATTTTTCGAATCTTTTTATTTAGGAAAATATTTGCTCAGGGTACTGCAGTTTTCCAACTTTTTGGTAGTCGGATAAACTTGAAATGATAAGCTCAATTTTGTCTAAATAGTTCCAGGCTCTTCCAAAAGTGAGAATAGATGGGATGCTGAACCAGGCATGTGTGCCGAAGAAGTGAAAGAACTAAGTAGAAGTAAGTGGTCAAACCTAGACGAAGACGAAACAGAGAAATCTCATGGCGTGAAGGGTAATTCAAATTCAAGGTCTGGATCAAGCCAACGACATTGTAGAAAAGGGGAATCTGTTCGGTGGGGTGATCAGGTATCCGTACTGTGGGTATTGTCATTTGGAAAGTCTACTTGCTTGTTCATCACATTTTCAGAGAAAGAGTTTTTCCTTTAAATCTTTCATGTCTTCTGATCAAATTTATAAGTCCATTGTTCCTATCCCATACTACATATAGGGTGGCGATACCGGATTTTCCATTGGGGCTGCAAGGAACGCAAATATGCCTTCTTTGGTGATAGGGCCTGGCGCAGGATACAACTTGGTATACTAACGAAACCTAGTTCTAGAATTTGAACGTCTTTGTTTGGGGAAATCACATCGGAATGTTGATATTCTTTGGAATTAACCCAAAAAAAGTGGGGTTTGCATCTGACTTGATAATGGTTTCTGAAAACTTAGGACGATTCTTCAATGGCTTCGTTTTCTCTTTTGCAGAGCCTGTGAAGCTCCCAGCTTTCTATCCATAGTCATCTTCGTAATCGATTTACTTTTTGTGTGTGTGTGTGTGCAGAAATCGAACCCTTTAACTGAAGAAGAGAGCCGAGCAGTTGCCAATAGCATAAACAGGGCAAAGATGCGGAGTGTTTTCCAGGATCAACTCCGTGCAGAACGAGAGTCTTTCAAAGCAGTTTTCGACAGGAAGAGGCGTCCGGGGATGATTCAGACAGAGGAGTGAGTGGCGGCTGACTGTCATTTGGACAACCTTCTCTTCTCTCTTAACAGTCCAAGCACAAAAGCAGAAGAGAACATCAAAATGTCACATTGTCCATTTCCCCATATTGTAGGAGAGGTTCGAGTATATGGGAGATGAAAATATGTCCGTACGGCCGTTTTTATCTTATATTCTATTGATGAATCAATTTTAGAATCGCCTATTCTTGTGATGAGATATGTTCATGTCAAAGAAACAGAGAGCTACCAAAGACTACTTTAGTGGATAATAATGATGCAATTGTATTTTTGTTTTGTCTTGTCAACTTGTAATTCAGGCATTTGTTCTCTTTACCATATGCTCATGCGTTAAGATCACTGTGGATTAATTTTAACCTAGAGTTTATAAATGACAATATATCTACTTGTCTATTAATTGTCTAAACGTTTAGCTTTTATAATTAGGGAAAAGGGAAAACTTGAAGAAACCCCTCAAAATACTTGTCACGTTTTTATTCAATAAGAAATACGGGCGAATGTTATTAATTGGTGCATTTTGCATGTGAAATTTGTCTGTTTGCTTGACGACTTTGTAAACCGAAGACCAATCCCCCTCAAATCACTTTTAATTGGTTCAAACGGGGTTTAAATATTATTATAGAAAAGAAAATATCATATTATATTGCCAGAGTCGGATGATGCTTCTTGGCCAGGAGAGATTTACACATGGTAAAAATGTGTATATATTTACTTATATACGGTTCGTATACGTGTACGTGACTACATGCATACAAAAAACTATATATATATATATATATGCCATGTACGGATGCCCACAAAAAGAGAGAGAGAGAGACTTGGGATCATCGGCTTCCTCGTCAAAACTTGAAGTTTTTCTTCAAGTAACACACAACCTCTTGCTGCCACCACCACAGAAAGCATGAATATTCAAAACATGGATAGAGTGAATGGTTAGAGAGAGAGCGAGAGACTTACAATGAGGGAAAGGATGAGACAACCAGCGGCACCGGGGAAGACAGCGTACCAAATGTTCAACTGATGGAACTTAGCTCCGTCTATGAACATCAATGGCAGACTCGCCGCTGTTTCACATGACACATGTATCATTAAATCACATTCTCAATCTCCTCATTAGTACAGATTCCATCCAATGAATGGATGCATCAATTACCAGGAGGGTGGTTGGCTCGGGCTAGGACCATGAAGGCGATAGAAGCCGCAAGAGCTGAGCTGCGGGCCAGCCACCCTGGTCCGAACACCGTCAACGCCAACACTCCTATGGCCGCACACCCTATCTGACCCACGAACATATTGTATTTCTGATACCACCCCCCAAAAAAAAATACAACTTCCCATTACAAAACTTGAACTAACGATAAGAACACAGCTTCTTGGGGTGACAGACAATGCTGTTTCGTACAAATGTCTTTCGGGCATTTGTGTATTCCGTAGTTAAACAGCTGAACATTGAATTTAGAGAATATATACATATATGTATATGTATAAGTATATACATATATGAAGAAGAAGAAGAAGAAGAAGATATATAAAATACCCGAGCAGCAGGAGAGGAGGGGGAGGTGAAGAGAATTGCAGAGACTGCACCAAGTGGAGCTACTGATATTGAAACTCCCTTCGTTGCCAACGCTTTATCCACTCTTCCCAATACCGCCATTGCCGCGAATGCTCCTGTTCCCATCATTTCACCAAAAACCCTCATCAGATTACTCTCTATCTACATATACATACATATATATATATATATATGATAGTTTTTAATTTGCTTATTGGTTTTAAGATATTGCTTATTGGTTTAAAAAGCTCGCCATTGTGTATGGAGTTAGAATGATTCCCCATTCCCACCTCATTTGTACCTCAAAAAACCCTAATTTCGGGTACTTAATCAAAATTATATTCTACAATTTTCTTAATTGGTTTGTGAAAATTTTCGCAAACCCTGTTGTCAAACAAGTTCTTGGGATCAGTATCATTATATATATATATATATACACATTGCAATTGATTTTGCATCCTGTAATGAAAATTGAGAATAGGTCAAACTAGGTAATACAAACCCTAACCGTAGGTTAATGACCATTAGTACCTTCGAAAGGACAAACTCTTATGAATACACAAATTTCAATTCTCTGTCTCGTTACTATTTTTTTTTCAACTGTCATCATACTTTAACATTCGCAAATATAAACTTATACGAAAACCTAAATTTGTTACTAAATGTCTGAATAGAAAGATCACTATTTCAACCCATATACATATATATATATATATATATATGTATACAAATACTACTTCACTGTCGCGGTCTACGCATCCTGAAAATTATCTATTGTTATTGTAGGGCAACATTAAATTAAATACAATTAATGCTTGAATTTCAATTCTACCACCGCATTGAATGCAATTCTGGAGGTTTGCTCCAAATCCAATAATTTTATTCATGAATCATGACCGTATTATATTACTCAGATATTCCACATTCAAATTTATAGACTTGTCGTAAATGATAAATAATATATTTTTTGTAAGAAATTATTAATAATAGAAAAATTTTGCTGTCCACAGACCTGCAGCAGGCCAGATGACGTCACTCAGCGACGGAGCAGCCGCCGTCTTCTCCGGCTTCCACGACTCGAACCACGACGGCGCCGCCACCGTCGCCACCACTCCTACGGCGCCGTTTCTCCGCCGCGACCTAACCATCACCGGGCTTTTCTTCACCGCAGATTCAAAAGACAGAGACGCGGAGGAGACTCCGAGAAAAGGCGACGCTTTGCTCGAAACGGCGGCGACCATTGCCGGAGATATCGAGTTCTCCGGGAAAGTGGGATTATTCCGGCGAAGATGTAAGTGACCGGAGGCGAGAGGCTTCGCCGGGATCGAAGTCATGGTTCAGTTGTGAGGAGAAGATAAGACCAAAGAGATTTAATGGACGGTTTTGATCTAAAAGCCTCACAAAAAGCTCAGACATTTTCGAGGTTTGTTTGTATTCGTATATTGAAATATTTATAAATATAGAATATTTAGATATATTTACGCTATAAAGAGAGATATATATGGAGAGAGAGTTATATACATACATATATACATGCATACACACATATATACATACATACGTATAAAATACGACAGTTGAGAATGGTAAATTAGGATTAAAGTTATTTGTAATGATGCTTTTGGTATATAGAAATGGTAATGTTGGTTTCTCCATATAAATTTTGTTTGCTTTCCAATCAAAACGCTGAAATTGTTTTGCCATCTCTAAATTAAAAAAAAAACATATTTTTGTAACGAAATTGATTCATAATTTTGTCAAGTTGCATTCTTGTATTGTGTGTGTACCATTTTATTTATGTGTATTATGTGTATTATGCATATATATATATATATATATGTATATATATAATCTATATATGCAAGTATATGGGGGAGAAAAAGGCGATGGCCATTTAAGGTGTCAGGGGTGAAGAGACTCTTTAAGAAAGCGAAAGGTCATTTCATTGGGTAGGAGGTGTGGCTCATTGCCCATTCTTTATTTAAATTATTTATTATAAAAAACCATAATATTTATTTATACATAGATATATACACACATACGACGGTGTCGTCTTGACATCACATGCATACACATGTTCCATATTTGCAGTCGTGAATACCAATCATAAGTTGTTTTATTTAAATTAAAATTCTATAATTTAACAAAGCATGGACTGACAAATCTATTGCATCGGCATCTGTAACATATCTCACACTAATGATTTTCTAAATTTCTAGGGCTTAAATGTTTTTCCAGAGTTGAAAATGCAGTGGAAATACAAGTAAAGTATCGTGATATTACATATATTCATGAAACTGAACAAGAAAGAACCAGATTGAATATAAAAACCGCGACGTGCATGAGAGAGACATGCGTATCCGTACAGATTCGTCGTCGACTCTGTCCGGTCAACGCTCGATCTCCTCAGGAGCAGTAATCGGAGTGGGAATCGTAGAAATCGCTCGGACAAGGCGACATGACCTCTTGCTCGATCAGCTGCAACACCTGGTTCATGTTCGGTCTCTCCTCTGGCTCACCGTCCGTACACCTCGCCGCTATTTCAAGCACGGCCTCCACCGTCTCAGCGTCTGCGTCCGTACACCTCTTGTCCACTACGTCCTCTAGTCTGTTCTCTTTCAGCAGAGTGTTCATCTGTCGACACATTTTATATAAACCACCTGTTCTTATCCAAATCCCAAAGACCAAAATGCAGATCGAATAAGGAAGTTTGAGCTTTTACCCATCCGACAACGTTTAACCCTCGTTTTACAAATGTCGGGTCCGTCGGTCTTTTTCCAGTCACGAGTTCCAGCAGAAGTACTCCAAAGCTATAGACGTCGGATTTCTCGGTTGCTCTCCCACTTTGCAGATACTCTGTTCCATCCAAAGGTGCCATCAAGAATTGTTAAGCAGACTAACAAATGCATATACACATAAATATATATACGGACCTGGGGCGAGATAGCCGAAGGTGCCAGCCACTACGGTAGTGACATGAGCCTCCTCATCCACAAGAAGCTTCGCCAGACCAAAGTCAGAGACATGAGGTTCCAACTTGTCGTCGAGAAGGATGTTACTTGATTTTATGTCACGGTGAACTATCTTCGGGCTACAGTCATGGTGCAAGTACGCTATCCCCCTTGCCGACCCCATTGCAATTCTCAACCGAGCACACCAATTCAATGCCCGGTCTTCTTGCCCTCGTTCTTGTTAGAACAGAATTCAACATTCAGGGGTCATATTTCCATACTCTGTGTGTGATTTTACGAGATGCGTTTTTAAGTACGTACCATGAAGAAGATCGTCCAAGCTGCCGAAGGTGAGATAGTCATAGATGAGAAGCCTTGAAGAAGGAAGGCGACAATATCCTCGCATGTTAACCAAATTGATGTGCTTTACACTGCCCAGTATCTCTACCTCTCTCTCAAACACTTGGTCAGATCCTTCACGACTCCGATCTATTTTCTTCACCGCAAAGGTTCCGCAATCGTTCATTACCATGCGGTACACCGTACCAAACCCTCCTGATCCGACAATGTCTTCCTCATTGAGTGTCTCCAGCTTCTCTATAAGCTCGCCCGAGGAGTACGGAAGATCTCCATGGAAAGTTATAAGCTTTGTACCTTTTCAGAACAAATGGTAGATTCGAGTTATTATGGATACACCCACATGCAATATATACAGGTTAACAGATACGTAATTGTGAAATGTGTTATCTTTTCTCAACGGGCTTACTCGATTCAGTAGGCTCTTTTTGCTTCTTGACTTCGGTGTACTGCTTTGCAGCTCTTTCCTTCTTCGAAAGCATCCAAATCCAGAGGAATGCCAATATCATAATGAAAGCAAGAAACATTGTAGACATTGCCCCGATCAAAACTCCTTTCACCAAGTGTGATGACCGTTTTGCCGGACCTATATGATATTTTCAAAGGAATTAAGAATCAGATTTCCAAGCAAAACACCCTGGGAAGCAGTGATTATAAGCCATAAAGGGTATGATCTTGCCTGCTGATTCGTCGCTTTCTGCATGAGGAAGAACGACGGGAAATCCCATCGATGTTCTGCATGGCTTGTGAACTTGTCGCCCACAAAGGTCCAAATTACCGACGAATCTAACCACAAAGACAAACAGCATTTCAGAATGTTGTCCCCTCACACAACGGTCAATATGATCCAGGGCGGGAAGACTTACGATTCAGCCCCGAATTTGCTGAGTACCCCGAAATCTGGGATCTCACCCGATAAGAAGTTGGTTGACAGGTTCCTTGAACAAATGATATTCAAAGAGCAAACCATTAGCAGAGAATCCATCTATTGTGGTGGCTTCTGTTCAATCTCTACAAGACCAACAGATGAGTCATAGTGCCTGGACTGCACTTACAGGGAATGCAGACGTGCCAGTCGGCTGATAGAAGAAGGAATTGCACCCTTCAGTGTGTTGCTTGATAGATCCCTGAACCCCAAATATCATCAATATTATGCATCAGAAAAAAGTTTTACTTATTTGAAATCCTTGGATGAAGGACTAAAATAGAGGTTTAAAAAAAACTATATTGAGCAAGGAAATCAATCTGAATCTTACAATATAGTAAGAGAAGTGAGGTTTCCGATATCTGGTGGAATTCCTCCCTGCAGATAATTAGCCCTTAAATACCTAAACCATATGGAAAAAACAGTAAGGTTCATATTGCAGATGCAAATGAAAACCAGGAAAGATTTGCATACACACACAATTACCCACAATTACAGCATGTTTGAATCACAAATCCTTAAATTTCTTATAATCATTAAAACCAGACATAAGTGAGGATCAAGTTCAGGTAACCATCAGACAAAGCTGTAAACTTGAGATCAAAACTCCATTGCCAATATCTTCAAAACAATAGAAAAACACTTCCACGAGAAACCTCACTCACAGAGCTCTAAGCTCAGTGCAATTGGTGATCTCATTAGGGATGATCCCATGTAAGCTGTTCTGATGAAGCGCCCTACAGAGTTTTCAAACAAAGTTTAAGCCAAATAAAATTTATTATAGAATATAAGATTGCGAAAAAAACGATCTACATGATGAACTCACAATCTCTGCAGTCTACTAAGCTTGCCGATGCTGGAAGATATTATCCCTCCAAATTGCATGTAGGGCAAATTTCTGCACATCCCGGGAAATGGAAGATGTCAACGGAAATAAGAAATCCGATCAATTGGTAAAGGGGAAAAAAAGAGACAAAAAACATACATAGAGATGACTCTCTGGTCTTGAGGATGACAAGAGATTCCGGTCCATGAACATGGAGATTCGTCGGAATCTCTCCAGTTCCCTAAGACATTCCTGC